TGTGTGTGTGTGTGTGTGTGTGTGTGTGTGTGTGTGTGTGTGTGTTAGACAAGTCACTTACCTTCAACAATTACAACCTCAAACAGCCAATCATTACAGTATCTCACACCAGATTACATGCTTCTCGACCAATCACAGACGACCTTACATCCAACCACCTCTCGCCTACCTCAGGACAGATCACCAACTACTTGTGATGTATCTCTCTCGACCAATCAGAAGCTACGTGACAAGCAACGACCCACAGGTGTCTACCAAACGATTGATGACCGTCCAATCAGCGAGGGTTTGGCAGTTGACAATAGCAGGATTGATGATGGGAGGAAAGGAATAAGGGAGAAGGGGGGATAGTGGTTTTGGTTGGAGGGGAAGGATTGGGGGTGGGTTGGGGTTAGGGGGTAATGGGGAAGAAGTGAGAGGTAGTAGTGGTAGGAGAGAGTGAGAAGGGGTGAGGGAAGGAAGGAAACAAGGGAGAATGGGGGGTTAAATGGGTGAGTGTTTGCCCAGCAGGAGTTTGAACAGCTCTTAGGGTCTCAGTCCACTATATGAGTGACACACACACACACACACACACACACACACACACACACACACACACACACACACACACACACACACACACACACACACACACACACACACAACACAACACACAATTATATGGCTCCTCGTATTCAGCCAACAAAGGCCTTTATGTTTTGTCCTTAGCATATATACATATAATGGTCTATCCTGTATACTGTATATGAATACCAGGTGTGTGTGTGTGTGTGTGTGTGTGTGTTAGAGAGAAGAGAGAGAGAGAGAGAACATTTATGCCCCTCTCGTGATCTCTCTGATTTAATGGCTGCTTCCTTCTCACCTCCTCCCCCTATCTCCTTACCTCCCGCCCTACCTCCCTATCTCCCTCCCTCTCCCCCTACCTCCCTCCCTCCCCCCTTCCTGTGTCAGGGGAGGTGTATGAGAGGTCGTGTCAGGGAGAGTGTGGCCTCATGGATTACCATACACGTATTGTACTGATTAATTTAACCTCAGTGACTTTAGTTAGCTTTTGAGTACTATGCTGATCCCCTGAGTACGAGTTCGATCCATGAGTACTATGCTGACCCCCTGAGTACGATGGCAACACTCCTCTCTCTCTCTCTCTCTCTCTCTCTCTCTCTCTCTCTCTCTCTCTCTCTCTCTCTCTCTCTCTCTCTCTCTCTCTCTCTCTCTCTCTCTCTCTCTCTCTCACTTCTCCCAGATTTATTCCTCTCCCATCCTTCTCCATAGATATCTTCCTCCCCCTACTTCTTCCTCCTCTCTTTCTCCCACTAACTTTATTTCTATCGTCTTTCTTCCCTCTTCTCTTTCTCTCTATCTCTTTTCTCTCCCATCTTTATCCTCCTCCTCCATCTTTTCCACCTTTCCTTCTCCACCTTTGAATATTCCAAACCTTTTTATTCATGGCCCGATGGTCGCTTGTGGGGGTCAGTGTCATGTGTGTATGTATGTATGTATGTATGTATGTATGTATGTATGTATGTATGTTGAGTATACCTGACATATATATTCCTCATGAGAGCCTCTTAGAAGTGAGGACGTCATAGGTCAGGAGGTCATAAGTGGGGAGGTCATAGGTCAGAGGTCGTGTATTCAGAGGTCAGGGGTCATTTATTCAGAGGTCAGGGGTCATATAGTCAGATGTCAGGAGGTCAGGGGTCATGTAGTCAGTGGTCAGGAGGTCAGGGGTCATGTATTCAGAGGACAGGAGGTCAGGGGTCATGTATTCGGAGGTCAGAGGTCATGTAAAACTGCACCAACATGAGTGAGTGAACACCTTGGTCGAGTGCAGTTTGATCTTCATTATTACTTCAACCAACCACCTTTACTTTGTTTCTTTCTTTCTTTCTTTCTTTCTTTATTTATCCTTCCTCTTACTTTTCTTTCTTTCTTTCTTTCTTTCTTTCTTTCTTTCTTTCTTTTTCTTTCTTTCTTTCTACTCTCCTTTCTTTTCCTTCTTTCTTCTTGTGTCTCTTTTCTTTTCCTTACCCTTTATTCTCCTCCTCCTTGCTCCTTTATCTTTCTCCTTATTCTCTTCCTATTCTCTCTATGTGTGTCACCCTCCTCCCTGGTTTATTGTTATTGCCTTATTCACCTGATTCTCCAGAGGTTCTTTGAAGTCTGATTTTGTATATGTTAGTTTTTTGTGTTGTAGTGTAATTGCGTCTCTCTCTCTCTCCCTCTCTCTCTCTCTCTCTCTCTCTCTCTCTCTCTCTCTCTCTCTCTCTCTCTCTCTCTCTCTCTCTCTCTCTCTCTCTCTCTCCCACAGTACCTAACTCTCTCTCTCTCTCCCACAGTACCTAACTCTCTCTCTCTCTCTCCCACAGAGCCACAGTATCCATGGCATGGGGGAGGAGGACCGCCACAACAGACCCCACCAGGAGATGGGACAACTCACCATCGAGGAGAAGAAATTCCTTCTCTCGGTGGAACGGGGAGATGTGGCCGGTGTCCGCAGGTGAGTGTCTCTTAATGAGTGTGTCTTTACAGGTGTTGATTAATCCCCCAGCAGGTGTATCGGGTTTGTTTCTCTGCAGGTGTCCCATGATTGTCTCTCTGCAGGTGTCCTAGGATTGTTTCTCTGCAGGTTTCTTATGTTGATTAATTTCCATGCAGGTGTCCTTTCCCTCATACAGATGTCTCTTGCTAGTTATTATACAGGTGTTTAGCTTGATTAATCACTCAACAGGTGTCATTCCTTCGCTCTTTCCTCAGACAGGCATCTCTTGGTAGTCATTTTCCAGGTGTTGTCCAAGTTACAAACGTTAATTAATCTCTCTATAAGTATTCTTAGCTAGTTCCTCAACAGGTGTATCTTGTTAGTCAGGTTTTCTTCACAGGTGTCCTTGATTAGCGTCCCTACAGGTGTTCCTCCCTCGTTAGTTGTCATCACAGGTGTCCTTAATTAGCGTCCCAACAGGTGTTCCTCCCTCGTTAGTTGCCGTCATAGGTGTCCTTAATTAGCGTCCCTACAGGTGTTCCTTCCTCGTTAATTGCCATCATAGGTGTCCTTAATTAACGTCCATACAGGTGCTCTTCCGTCGTTAGTTGTCACCACAGGTACCCTTAATTAGCCCCTCCCCTTCCCTTTCCCCTTACAGGTATCCCTTGTCAGGTCCTCCACAGGTAAGTCATCGACCCGTGGGATTAATTGGTATCAGCAGGTGATCTTGGAAAGGGATGTGATCGCATTAGGAATCCTTTAAGGGGATTCAGATGTGTTATAGACCTATTTAACTCAGTGCTATTATGTGGGGTCATATATCGAATACTCTTATAGGGTTTCGAGTATATTATAGTATTATGATTGTCTTAAAAAGGTTTAGATCCTCTATGTACGGAATTCGATTGTGTTAGAGGTTCTTTAAAAGGATTCGATTGCATTTACTCTGTTAAAAACGATTGTAGGTTATTGAAAAGATTTAGCCTACGAACCTTTGAGAATACAGTAGATGCATATTCACTTAGAGACGTGAAGACTTAATCTACGAGCATTTGAGAATCACTCTTTGTATTGAAGATTAAATTAGATACGTTCTTTACATTTCTAGTTAGCTTAATGGCTCTTATCTTAATGAGCATCTAGGAATTCATCTTAATGTCTTAGCTAAAGTGACTCGGATGGATTAATACCTTGTCTAGTTATTTACCTTTGAGAGTTGATCTTTAAATTTACGAGTCATTCTGATATTTTTAGTTCAGACGCAAAAACAATTAAATTATAAGGCTTTCAGAATATATCCTTAAGTAAATTAGTGTTAAGCATTGTTATAATATCTCCCCAGTTAAGATATATTAAAATTTTATCTTACGATCCTCTGAAACACCCGGATCTTAAGAACTCAGGGAAGAGGCCATTTGAGTCGTGTCTTTTGTGAAGCTAAGATAGGAAGGTAGGGGGTTGTGTGTGTGTGTGTGTGTGTGTGTGTGTGTGTGTGTGTGTGTGTGTGTGTGTGTGTGTGTGTGTGTGTGTTTGGAGATATGAACGCTACGTGATTCTGTTATCATCAAAGATTCTTCCCCTCCTCTTCCTCCTCCATCTTCTCTCGTCTCTCCTCGTTACCTCCTTCTTGTATCTACCCTTCGTTTACCTCCAGAACAGATTAAAAATATACTACTCACCGGCATTCTCTGTCTGTCTGTCCTTATTATCCTATATTCCTCTCCACTTCATCTCATCTTTAATTCATGGAAGGCAGCCAGTCCGAAGACCACTATCTTGTCACACCACCCAACACCGATTTCCTCCCTCCTTTGCCTCCCCTCTCTCCTCTCCACCTCACTTCCCTTTCCCTCCTTCCTCCTGCCTCCCCCCCCTCCACCACCTAACCTCAGCGGCACTAAGAATGTAAATCCAATTAAGTTATAACACACTTTGGCTCATAATGACGGGGGAGGTGGTTTAGCGCTGTTTTAACCCCCACCTCTTTATTAGGCCAGCGTTAATGAATCTTCCCGACCGTCCCTTAAATACCTGGTGCCTTATTGGTTAATGATGAGGAAGACAGTCGGGAAATTTGGGAACCTTGTGGCGGGGAATTTATGTGTGGTGGAGAGGAATTTTTGTGGGTAATTTTTTTATTATCATTATCGTGGCGGGGATTTTTTTCGTTGGTGGGGACTTTTTTGTGATTTTTTTTTCTAATTATAATGATTTTATATATATATATATATATATATATATATATATATATATATATATATATATATATATATATATATATATATATATATATATATATATATATATATATATATATATATATATATATATATATTTTTTTTTTTTTTTGGGGGTTCTTGTTATTGGATGTTCGTGGCAGGGAATTTTGTTTTATTATTATTATCTTTTTTTTAATGGTCAGGGCAGAGTCTCTTTTTCTTTCTTTTTTCTTTTGCCTTTTTCCATGAACTTGGAGGGGAATTTTTATTTTAAGTTTTACGATCGTACAGGGAATTTTATGCTGTTTTTTTATGATCTGTGGTAGGGAATGTTTTCACTTGTAATGATCGTATAGGGAACTTTTTTTTTCTTTGCTGATTATTGACACGACAGAATTTTTTGATCACTAGGAGGGGAACTTTCGCTAACGTTGGGGGATTTTCTCTTAAAGGCGACAGGGAATTTTTTGTAGATATATAATGACCACAATGGGGATTTTTTCCTAATTACTGACGATCATGACAGGAAAATATCTATTAACTGCAGGTATAATTTCGTAGATAGGTAAAAAAAATTAAAACTAAAACTGGGAAGTTTTGTCAAGCTGGCGGGAAAATTTTGCCGATATATGATGGTCATGACATAAAATTTCATATTCATCTGAAGGTAAAATCTAGACATATGAATAAATTTAAGTATAAGACCGAGAAAAGGGATTTTTTTATCAACTGGTGGGGAATTTTTCCAGATATTTGGCGATTTTTACAGGGAATTTTTTGCTGTCTTAATTTCAACCAATCAGGAATAAGTTCTCAGTAAATTAACCAATAGGGAGCCAATTCCTTACAATTCAACCAATAGGGAGCAAGTTCTTGATAAGTCAACCAATAGGAATCCAATTTCTCATCATTTCAACCAATCAGGATCGATATCAGTTACGTCATAAACTCCACTCCATCAACCAATAGGGAGCCAATTCCTTACAATTCAACCAATAGGGAGCAAGTTCTTGATAAGTCAACCAATAGGAATCCAATTTCTCATCATTTCAACCAATCAGGATCGATATCAGTTACGTCACAGACTTTAAACCAACCCCGTTCACCAAATTGCACACCACACGGGCGAGCAACAGACGCAATAATGCAATCGTATGCAACAAGAGACGTCGTTTAATTCGGCAAAAAAGATGACTTAGGAAGCATTGCAATGGAAGGTGAAATATCAGATATGCATTACTTGTTTCCGATACGATTCCTGTGCCCTTGCCTTCCCAGCGTGTTGCAACATGAGACGGAATTGCAATAAATGTAACTTGGGGGAGTTTACGAGGTCCGTGTGTTGCATAAGTGATGGATTATTTAGTGTGTGTGTGTGTGTGTGTGTGTGTGTGTGTGTGTGTGTGTGTGTGTGTGTGTTAGTGTGTGTGTGTGTTGATATGTGTTTATTTGTATGTAGAATTCCCCCCCAATTTTTTTTTCAAAATTCCCAAGATCAACAGAATTACGAAAAAATACCTCACAGAATTAAACCAAATCTACAAAATTTCAATTAAAAATGGCACTGACATCTACAAAAATAAATCAGTCCTAGACGCTACATAATCTCCGGGAGTAGAAGGAATCTACAGAATTCACAGAGATCTACATAATTTCTGGAGCCTTGGGGACGTCTATAGAATTTTAGTAACCAAACGAACGAACGTGTTGGAGGGGTGAGAAGGGGGAAGGGGGAGAGAAAGGGAGAGAAGGGGAGAGGTGGGAGGGAGGGAGGGGGAGAGAAGGGGGAGGGGGAGGTGAGGAGGAGGGGAGAGAAGGGGAGGGGGGAGGTGAGGAGGAGGGAGAGAAGGGGAGGGGGAGAGAGGTGATGAGGGAGAGGGTGAAAGGTAGTGAGAAAGAATATGGAGGAAGGGAAGAGAGGGAGTTGGAAGGAGGGGGGAAAAAGGGGAAAAAGAAGTGGGAATAAAAGGTGAGTGAGAGAGGAAGGGAGAAGGAGTGGGAGGAAGGGGAAAGGGAAGGAGTGGGGAGGGTTTGAAGGGAAGGGAGAGAGGAAAGGGAAAAAGATGTAGAGGAAAGGGAGAAAGAAGAGAGAAAGAAAAGTGAAAGAGGGAGAAAGAGAGGGAGGGAGAGAGGAGGAGGGTGAGGAGAAGGGGGAGAAGGAGGACACTTGGTGGTTACTGAGGTAGAAGTCATGGTTAATATCTCTATGGTGAGGCTTATTTATCTGTTATCCTTCCTTCCTTCCTTCCTTCCTTCCTTCCTTCCTTCCTTCCTTCCTTCTTTCTTTCTTTCTTTCTTTCTTTCTTTCTTTCTTCATTCCTTTCTTCCTTTGTTTCTGTTTTCTTCCTTCTTGCACTTTTCTTCTTTTTTCATCACTTCCTTAGTTCTTCCTGCAGTTCATCTTCTTCCTTCATCTTCCTTCTCCTTCGTATTCCATTTCTCTTTCTCCTCCATCCACTTTCTTTCTAATTCTCCTTCTTTCCTCCTACTACTACCTCTTTCTTCTTCCTTCTCTCTCCCCTCTTTCTCATCTTCCTCTTCCTTCTACTACCTCCTCCTCCTCCTCCCCCCTACCACCATCTTCGGGTTCTGACGAATATTAAATGTTTAGTCTCCAGAATTAATTAACATATGGGTGAGATTTACGTCTGGAAATATATTCTTGAAGTGAATAAAAAACGAGCGGCTTTATGTACCAAACCTAAACCCGAACCCGAACCCGAACACGAACCCGAACCCGAACCCAAACATGATTTAACCTACCCTACCCTACCCTACCTTACCCTACCCTACCCT